ATATGAAATCAATTATTATGCATTTATAATTCACGTGCAGTTACTTTTTATACATTTTTTCTCTTTCTTTCTTTTTCTCTTCTTCTCTCTGTCTCTCTCTCTCTCTCTTTTTCTTTCTCTCTTTCTCTCTTTTTCTCTCTTTTCTCTCTCCTACCCTTCTTTTGCTAATATTCTTTTTTTCTACCTATATTCACTTCTCGTTCTCTCTCTCTTTCTCTTTCTCTTCTCTCTCTCTCTTTCTCTCTCTCTCTCTCTCTCTCTCTCTCTCTAGATATACAGTGTACTGCTTTATGTATGTTAATGTGTGTATGTACATTTTTGAGTTCTTATTCTAAATGTTTTTTTTTCAACTGTTCATCTTTATATCAATAGCAAAAGCAATTATTGATTTAAAAAAATTGTTCTTATATGCAATCAATTTTTTGGTTGAAGAAAATGGGTTAAAAATGTTTGCACAATGTTGAGATACAATACAATTTAATACAATATACATATACAAGACATACAAAATGCATGTACAAAGTTATACAAAAGATACATACAAAGGTATGTAAAATACATTTACAAAAATATACAAAATACATATACAAATGACATACACAAATTCATACAAGCGTGCAAACGATACAAGATGATTTATACTATTACGTCTTAAATTTTGTATTTACCGTTTTTTTTTAATTTTTCAAATGCGGCGTCTCTTGCTGCGGACGTTGAAAGAAAGTGTTCACTAATTTGTCGTGATTAAGTGTCATTCATTCATTCGTTCATTCATTCATTCGTTCCTTCGTTCATTCATTTATTCATTAATTCGTTCCTTCGTTCGTTCCTTCGTTCATTCATTCGTTCATTTGTTCGTTCGTTCGTTTATTCGTTGGTTTTATTTTGTTTAATCAACCGTTCTTTCATTTGTTTCATGCATTTACTGTTTTCAAGTGTTAATTAATTAATTGTGTATAATAAATATACTCTCTCTCTCTCTCTCTCTCTCTCCCTCTCTTTCTCTCTCTATCTTCTCTCTCTCTCTCTAACTTGAAATTAGTTTCAAACAAATTCTTCAAGATCAGTCGGGGCTTCATATAAATCAAACGTCCTACAAAATGATATGCCAGGATGTCTACTTCATCTAAGAGATGAGAATGAAGATGAATTCTCAAAAAAAAATTATGATTAAGACGAAGATGATGAAGAAGAAGACGATGATGATTGTGTTGAAATATAATGATGGCAATAATGGTGGTGACGACGATTGAAGTCTGCGATGGTTGATAATGAGAGATATCCTATCTAAAGTACATTTTTTGCGCGCCTGTTGCATTTGTGTTTGGTTGGATGATACACAACTTTGTCATATACGTAGGTGCGTTCGTTCGTGCTATAATCATTACATTACATTTCATTACATTACATTATTCAACATTCATTCTTCACGTTCGCATTCATATTTCATGCCTTTTATTAATTGCTTTGACGTACTCTGCTCCCTCTCTCCCTCTCTCTCTCTCTCTCTCTCTCTTTTTCTCTTTCTTTTCTTTCTCAGTGAATGTTCACTGATACAGATGATTAAATGTTTGGGAATTGTCTTGTCGCAAATACTTAATTGGTACACATACACGCGTACACGCACACACACACGCACGCACGCAGACACACACACACACACACACACACACATATATATATATATATATATAGTTGTTGTTGGTGCCATGCAAAGAACCTTGCTATTGTTACTCTCTTTTATATTAAATTAATAATAAATACTCCATTATTTTTTTGTCTAGAAATTTTTTTGCAGTCGACACGGATACATACACACGTATACAATGTTTGTATGTATATGTGCGTATATATATATATGAATATTTATATATATATATGTTTATATATATGTATGTTTATATATACGTATGTATATCTTACGCAACATGTTGAAATCAGGCTTACGTTTAATTATTAAGAATCGTTTACGAACTTTGATGTGTTTGTTTATGTTCATACAAACCTTTTAACATCAGATGAAAAGATTGCAAGCAACCTGGATTAAAAAATTGTGTTGTATGTATATACATATGTATGCATGTTTTGCGTATATACATAAACGCATATAATTCTCGTAAAATAATCAAATCCCGTGTTGAAAGAACCATCGGGAATTTCAGCTCCGGATAGTAAGCGTCCGGATGGCTGCCCTCTAATCCCATAGAAGGCTGGCAGATGTTTAGCTTGGGACGTCACACTCCCTGACACACTTACTGAACGATACATCAGTTTAACCAGCTGTGGTTCTGCCGCACCAGGGCTTCTGCTGGAAAACATAAAAAATATCTTAACGCCATACCTTCAATGAAATTTTTTCCGATTTGTGTTGAAGTCCTTGGTCGTATGGATAAAGCTTCAGCCAAATTTTTTAAAGATATTTGCAACCTTGTAAGTGCAAGATCCGGAAACAAAGGTGGATTTTTTTTTCGCAACGAGCCACATGTTTTGTGTGTTACAGCGATTCCTCCGTGTTTCCGTGGCTGAAAATATTCAAATGAATGCTGACAGTTGCGATTGATCCACATACGTCCATCCATCCATCAATTCATTCATGCATACATGCATGCATGCATACATACATACATACATACATACATACATACATACATACATACATACATACATACATACATACATACATACATACATACATACATGCATACATACATACATATATTATACTTCCGTATATACATACATACATGGATAAATAACTATAAATTAAAAACGCATTTTGTTAAATGAAAATAATTTATTTCTAATTCGGCAAGTCTAATCAAATAATAATTATTAAAAATGAGATTTGCAAAAGTAATTAGTTAATTAATGAGTTAATTGAATATTAATTAATAAATTAACTAGGAGTGTAAGAATTTCACGTGCTATTCTTCCGTACCAGTACCTGACCGAAAGTTTGAAATTTGAGGGTCGTTACATCATTTCAAAACCAGTGTCAATACGAACACGAAACCATCATGATCACCATCGTCATCATTTAATCGCACTCACCATCGTCACCACTATCGTCAAGTTGATTCGCAACCACGATCGCCTACTCCACAAAACAGAACTACACCACCAATCTCTATCTCAACTGGTTCGGAAAAGTAGTGAAATTCTTCAAACCCTTCACGTATAAGGAAATTTCAAATTAAAATTCTAAATGATTGAATAACAACTGAATGAATAAATATACGAAAGAACAACTGCAACGATGGCAATAATAAAAGTATTATAATAATATAATAATAATATTCTGAAAAATAATAATAGTAATAAAAGTGGCAATTAATTCATTTGAAGAAATGCACTTGGGTGTTGAGTGTAACAGAGCGTAAATAAAACTGAAAAAATATTTTTGAATTACGCGCGAGCCATAAAAGTTGAAAGTTCAGAGCAATTTGACAAAATAAAAACATTGTCGGCGTCAAACGATAATAATGTTTGTCGTATTTCAAAATATTGCACAAAAAATCTTTTATTAAAATGTTTCGACTGTACATAGAACTCAAAATCTTCAGCAAATAATTAATTATGAGATATTCACCATATTTCATAAAATGTTTGAAACGTGTGATGATGAAACAAATTACCCGTAGTTTTTAGACACATGATGAGCGTTTCAACATGATTGTAGTGAACATTTTTTTTAGAAAAATAAAAATTAAAAGAACTCAATATTAGTATTTAGCCAGTGGCAAACCAATCATCAATAAATAAATACACAGCACTACATATTTTATTCGCTACCAATGATATTGTAACTGCAATTCAACCTAATTAGTCTAATTGTGCTCGTGTAGAGTTTAGCGGTTGACATTCAAGAGTAGCGTGTCTCACGTCTCACCAATCAGACAACGATAAATAATCAGATGTAGAAGTTAAAGGTTCGTCGGAGTAGGTGAAGAACTGTCTATTGGTTGATGACGTCATTTTTTGACGGTGGTCGGAAGTCTCGTACGGTTCCAAACTGGAGTCCATGTAGAGCTTTTCAAGGTCGGACTGTGCCGCCGATTCTGTTTTTGTGATTTGTATGTCGACTGATGCATTTTTGTAATAATATGTATTATAATGTATGCCAGCTGATGTTTCTGTGCGGTTGTGTGGTTGAATGTATTATTGAGGAAGTGTAAAATGTTATTAACAGAAGACAAAATGATGAAACTCCATCAAATATTCCAATGAGTTAGTTGTTAACTCGCCCACAAAAACGTAATAAAACGATCGATGCATCGACCAACGCAACAGCCAGAGAGGACAAATGAAAAAGTAATGAACTGACCAAATACTCTCTTAGGGACGACAGGCAGGTCCATGTCCAGAGGTTCGCTCCTCCCTGCACTCGTTTCGGCAACCACTCTGAAGTAATAAGGTTGGTCCTCAAACAGATCTGTGACGCAGTAGGCAGTGACGTCACCAGGGCAGACGCCTGCTACCGTCCAATCGTGGTCATCTTTCTTTTCTATGACGTATCGCAAGACCTGGTAGGAGGAGTCATCGTAAGGAGGTGACCAATGAAGAGCCAGCATGTTTCTGGTCACACGAATCACACGCAGAGGTCCGCCAGGTTTCAAAGGTCGGCCTTCATATTGTAAGTTTTTGATCGAGGGCAATTATAATATTGAGGGTCGTTTTTCATTTCAATTTTCATAAAATTTTATCTGTAAAAAAATGTTAAGCCAGCGTGAATTTATTAGTTAAATTGCAACAAACCATCAACGTATCTTGGCGTAACATGACTTTTCAACTGAACATAACCACCCGGCCCAACTTTATTCTCAGCATAAATCCTGAAGAGGTAGGGCGTGCCTTCGATCAACCCCCCAATGCAGGCCACCAGGGAATCGTTGGAATCAACTCTTTTAACAGGGAACCATGTAGCATCTGCCCCGCCAACCTCACGCTGTTCAACCACGTAACTCAAAATTTTACTTCCGCCATCACTTTCCGGTGGCAGCCACGACAACGTGATGCTGTCGTGAGTGGTGCTGACGACTTCCAACATGGCCGGCGGCAGAGGACGGGCTGTATGGAGAAACGTGAAAACAACTTGTCAACAAATTTAACGCGGGTTCAATGAGCGGATAAGCGAGTGAATAATAACAATTGGGCGAACTAATGGAAAGACATACAGTATTGATTTATATAAATAAATTACACGCGTTGCCAATGACAAATTTCAATTAATTACAACAGTAAAATAAATCTGGTAAAATAACTCAAAAAACAAACTGACTCAGTAGATTAGACGGAACAATGGGGTTGGCCAGCCCACAAGCGGATCCCACTCCCACTGCATTCTCAGCTCTCACTCTAAAATTGTACTCCAGACCTTGGACCAAGCCGTGCACAGTGTACTGCGTCGTGTAGGAATCCAGTCTGCCCACAGTGTGCCACTTCGACATCACGCCGGATCCACCAACACATCCCTCCTGCTGCTCCACCTGAAAACCAGCCAATGGCACGCCTCCGCTCTCAGATGGGTGGAGCCAGGACAAAGTGACTGATTCACGAGTCGCATTTTCAATTTTAAAGTTTAAGGGAGCCGATGGAAGATCTGTCGATTTTAAAAATAACATAATTATTAACAATAAATTAATACTTTACAATAAATTAATGCTGAACGAGAAAGGAAATGAAAAAATAAAATTTTTAACAAGTACACTCAAGCAAAAATTATTCACTGAAAAAGCGAACCTTTTGGCTTTGTAGGTGTAACGGGCTCAGTGAACTCCCTGTAGTAACCTACCCCTTCACTGTTTTCTGCGGCAACCCTCACAAAGTACGAGCAACTTGATTGGAGGTTTTTAATGACGTGACGACGTTCGGTGGCCGGCACGTGAGCGATTGATATCCAATGAGAGCTCTTGGATTCTTTCTTTTCAATCACGTAGCTGTGAATTGGATCGCCACCATCACTTACTGGGTCAGTCCATTCTATGGTCAGGCTGTCTTCTGTAATTCCAACCAACCGGACGGTGTACGGAGGTCCAGGAATATCTGAAGTGTATGAATACTAATTTGTAAAAAATTCCATACAAATTTCCAAAGTAAATTAAAAGTTATCGTGTTAAAAAATGTCCATCGTATGATTCTTTACTAACTTTATCAACGTTTATTTCACTTGACTTTATCAACACCCAACTGATTTTCACTTTAGTAAATATTGTTAAAAAAATCCACTCCACATCCCTCTAAGCCTCAACAAAGCACTTACTGTTAGGTGTCTTTGTCTGAACAGATTCCCTGCTTTCCAGAGCTTGACTCCTGCCAAGGTGATTTTCCGCTATGACTCGGAATTTATAAAGATGACCTTCAACTAGGTGGTTGACATCGTAGGAGTTCACATAACTCTTCACTTTATTCACCCTTATCCAATTATTATGGAAACCGCTGGTGACGTCACATTTTTCAATGACGTAACCGGAAGTTAAATCGTTAAGGTCAAGATCAAAGAAGGAAGGTTGCCAGGAGAGAGTCAAGTTGTTTTTGCCAACGTTGCTGACGACGAGTGGACCACGTGGAGGAGCCGGTGCTTCTGAAATCAAATAAGTTTTGAAGATTCTCAGTTTAAATTCGTTTCGATCATTCTCAGTTTGAGATTATGAAATAAAAAACTCCAGCAGGAATTGTTAACAAAATTCAACATTAAATACAATGAATGAAAGACTTGATAAAAATAAAATAGATTTTAATTAGATTTAGACAAATTATTTAACCTGTGGTAACTGATAATCTAGATTTTGACGGTGGCCTTGAATGGCTCGGCGGTCCTTTAAAATTTTTTCAATCGTTTGATTTTATTGCAATTTTAAATTTTGAAACCAAATCTGAAAACCTCTTTTGTAAGAAATTAATTCAACTTTTATATTTTTTGATTAAAAATTACTAACGTGAAAGAACATTTTTGTGCAGTGTTACCGGTCTATCACATGTCAAAGCCAATCCTTGGCCTTCAGAATTCTCAGCAATTATCCTGAACAGGTACTCAGACCCGGGAATCAAGTTGGACACGGTGTATGAAGTTGTGAAGGGTTTCACCCTTGCAACTCTAACCCATCTGTTAGATAGGAGATCTTTTCTTTCTATGATGTAAGAATTTATGGTGGCTCCACCATCGCTCAATGGAGGCAACCAAGTTAAAGTCACACTGTCCTTCGAGATATCATTGGTTTCCAGAGGACCTCTTGGTGAACCAGGTTTGCCTGTTCACGGTAAGATATGAAAAGATACAAAATATAAAAATCAAATTTGACCATGTGATACATCAACACAGTGTTACAATGTTTCTTTGAACGCTGAGTCCTAATTAATCTAAACAATATACAAACTAAACTAACCCAGGTACGTTTGTCTGAGAGAGAATGGAGTGTCAAGAGTGATGGGCGGCGACGACGATCCTCCGGAATTTTCAGCCAACACACGGAACTGATAATCCGTGCCTTCCCTCAAGTTTCTCACAACGTAGGAAGTCTCTTCTGCATCTACACTGCTGACGTGTTGCCATGCTAGTTGGCCGGATTCGCGCATTTCTACCCTGTATCCGGTTACATCGGAGTCGGTGAAAGGCCTCCAACTCAAACTGACCGAATCGTCACTGAAAGCCGTAACAACAAGTGGTCCAATGGGAGAAATTTTAAAAGGTGCGTTTATTGATAGCCTCTTGATCTCGGACGATCTTCTCAATTGTACCGGTAGGGTTGTTTCAATTTGATCGCTTCTACCCTTTTCATTAATAGCAAACACGGCAAAGAAAAATCCGCTGCCATCCATTGCGGAGATGCTGCCTCTGCTTCTGACGCTTCTCGATCGCAAGTCACCAATCGTGCATCCGGTTGAGTAGCCGTCAACTTCGCACACCTCCTCCCATATATCAAAAGGTTTGCTCTTCATAAGTACTATATACTTTGTTATCTCTGAACCTCCGTCCGTCTTTGGAGCCTGCCATCTTAATGAAATGGCGTCATCTGTTACTCTAACTATCCTCAAAGACTGAGGTGCTGATGGAACTTCTACAACGTTCACGTCGCCAACGTTAATATATTCTGTAGATATAAGAGGAGCGCTTTCTCCATCTCTATTTTTGGCTATGACTTTTACCTGATACTTTTTCCCAGGAAGCAGATTACGCAGCACGTAACTGGTCGTAACTCCACCTACAATTTCATCTCGTGTCCATATCTCTTTATCGGACTCTCTTACTTGAACGACGTAGCCAGTTATAGGCAGCTGATCACTACTTTGAAGCAACGGCGGTCTCCATCTGATTATGACATCATCATTAGCCAACTTGGAAACCAGCAGAGGTCCTTGAGGAGAAAGAGGCAAGCGAAGGTTTTGACTCATCAAAAGTGGAGCCCCTCTGTAGTCTTTATACTGACCAGGAGATTTAACTGCTTCCTCATCTTCAGTTTCGATGAGTGGCCGAACCCTGAAAGCATACTTGTGGTCTGGTAAGAGACCTGGAACTTCGTATGAACGAGCTTTAGCTGGCACCTATATTTAAAAATTGAAAACATTAACGATGCAACAACATATTGTAGCGCTGAAAATATGCCATTATCGACAACAATTTTACGCAAAACATATAATTAAAAAATGGAACTAACAAATTAATTAGAATGTTAACCTTGTGCACAGGCGTCCATTTGTCGGCTCCAGTGAAATCCATTTTTTCGATTAAATATCCAGTAATTGATGAAGTGGGTTCCTCATCTTCTTCTTCATCTTCATCTTCTTCTTCATTTTCTTCATCATCACTTTTACCCCATTTTAAAGTTACGGCACCTTTCTTAAGATTTTTGTACCTCAATCTTCTGCTGGCATCGGTCGGAGCTGAGGCACTGATGGTGTCCGACTGCAGTGGAGGTCCAACACCCGCACTGCTTTCAGCTGATATTCTGAAGAAATATTCGTGACCAGGCGTCAGTCCGGCTACTGTAAACTCGTTGTCGCTACTCGGCACGTAGCCAATCTTCTTCCACTCCCCAACGCCTTCGCACATCTCTATTATGTACCCGGTAACTTTTGATTCCCCGTCATGCAGTGGGGGCCTCCATTCCAATTCGAGACTGCAGGGCGATAATTTGTTGACGATAATTGGACCGATAGGTCGAGACGGTACGCCGAAGGTGAGGACGGTAGAACTCGGACGAGCTACAAACGAAATTATTCACGTTATTGTTATACGAAGACTCATTGGAATAAAAATTTACTTACATCAATAAAGTAAGTATCAATACTGAAATAATAATTTAAAATTAAGAGATTGAAATAAAAAAGTTAATGGCATGTTTAATTAGCTGGCAGTAAAATAATTTTATCATAAAATAAACCTTTCTTTTCAGCTTTTTCATAAGGAGGAACATCGTAGATGACATAATTCAAGAACAATCCATCGTTTGTTTCACCATAAATCCTCAATTTGACGCCCAGATCTTCCCTCACATCTTTGACCTTGTACCGATGAACGCTGGCCGGCAGCATGACAACTTTCACCCATTTTCCTAATGGTGGACCTTCGAATTTTTCGATGACGTAGTTGATGAGTTTGTACTTTGATTCCAGCAATGGTGGTTGCCATTCCAGGGTCACCTCACCCAGGGAGACATTCACGTGACGCAATCCACGCACTCCGGGTAGGTCTCCTTCAATTTCGTGACCTTGAACACGAAAAGGTCAATGGATTTTAAACTATTTTTACGATTATGTTTAGATAAAATTTTGTGGCACTAATGAATATTCAAGCTCACATTAAAATGCAAATAAACACTTGTACGCACATATTATACACGTGTAACATGTAACATAAAAGTACAAAGGTATAAAAACATTTAGAATTTAAAATTCAGGTGTCAACACACAACCTCCCACAGCTTTAATTCTGACTGGAACGACCAAATATCCGGGTTCTCCGACGCCTAGTTGGTTCTCAGCAAAGACCCTCATCACATGATCAGCTCCGGGTCTCAACCCGTTGCACATGACGTTTGTCTGCGTGTAGGGAACGACTCCAACCGGAAGCCAGTAGTTGCTGTTCACCTCTTTCCGCTCGATGATGTAGCGATCGATTGCACAGCCGCCATTGTATTTTGGAGTCCGCCATTCCAGTTTCACGTGATCAGCGCCTATTTCGGATACTTTAACGTCTGTTGGTTGTCCAGGAACATCTGTGGTTGGATTAAAATTAACTTTCCAGTTGATATTATAAGATGAAAGATTTTATTTAATAACCCAGATCCTTTCGAGAAAGCAAAAAACTAAATCAAATTTATAAGAAGAACGAATTTAAAAACTCAAAGCGAGTGCCACCAACCAACAACTTGCACTATGAACTTCTCCCTGCACATGCCCCATTCATTTTTCACGATGACTTCATACTCGCCACCATCATCCATCTTCACGTTTCTAATTGTCAGCCATGTTGTTACGTCATTATTGTCCACGCTCACGTTTCCACGGGATTTTATGACGACTCCATTCTTGTACCAGGTAACAGTAGGAGCTGGATCAGCATCGTAGGTCAGGTTTATTCTAGCCACTCCCCCCACCGGAACCAGTTGATGACGTAATCGTGAGTCGAAGTCCACACGTGGCAGTTCTGTCATGGTGAAGAGTGAAGGAATGAAGCGCGCATTTCTATGATGAAGATTAATTGTTATGCAATTTATCTGCTGAATGCCCGCAAACAAATGTTCAAAAATTTTATTCATTTCATCGGTTCACTTGTGACTGCTCCAAATTATCATCACTCGTGTGTTTTAAAAATAAAATATAACCAACCAGTCAAGTAGCACGCTTATGGAGTAAAATATTCATTAATAATTTGAACAACAATCAGTGACGTCACCACTCCCTCTCTAAATCACCTGCGAGGTAGAGAGCCGCCGATGACGTAATCCTCCCGTACTTGTTGCTGACCTCACACGTATAGATTCCCCTGTCCATCTCCGTGACGTCATGAATAATTAACTCAGCCACGTTGTCCTTGATCTTTGTGGCATACTTGTTCGTGGCGGGCAGACGTTCGTTATCCTTCAGCCTGCAGATGATGAATAAATTAATATCATTATCGTTGAACAATCTGATGAAATTATTTGAATATCGATATAAAATAAATTAAATTAACCGCCGCTAAATAAATATATACCAAAGCAAAACTAAAGTAATATTTAATTGACTAAATACATATAAGATTTATAATTATGTATAAATATTAAATAATACTAATTAATATATTATAGTTAATATAGTTATAATTAATATAGTTAATAGTAAATAATTAAACAAAAATAAGTAAATAATTATATATATATATAATTATATAAATATATATCTTCGGGATTAGCGCCAATTATTCGCGTTTACCAAGGCGGTGTGTTCGAATGGAAGGCGATTCACTCCCATCACAGCAATTTGTGTGATGATCCGTGGATTTACAAAAATTTTCATGCAGTGATTAGTGGGTGTATGCGTGATTGGTGCGTGTGTGTGTTTGTGTATGTGTGTTTTCTATCAGAATTTATCAGAATTTCAAAATTTTAATTGAAAAAGAAACAATAACAGTAATGAAACAATAAACTGTTGAAATTTGAAAAAAAATTGAAACGAACCAGACAACATTGTAAGTCAGATCAGAGAAGAGTCTGCATTTGAAGGAAGCGTCCGTGTTTGGCTTGGCCGTGAAGTCAGTGATGTGCTCGTGTATGGTAGGCACCTTAAGACCTGTTCGTGATGTCAAATGATGATGATGACGTCAAATGACTGTATCAATCTAGTTTATCAAACAAATGTATTATATGTGTACAATTTTTGTTTCGTAACGTTTATTGTTATTAAACAGTGCTGTCGACATTTATAAAAACGGATTGCAATAAATATGTATGCAGGAAACGAACTCATAAGTTCTCGGATGACGATAGGTTTCGAACCCGGAGACGGCTCGCTCCTACCTGCCCTGTTCTCTGCACTAATCCTGAATTCATAAGCCGTGCCTTCGATCAAGTCATCGATAACGTGATGAGGCTGAGTGACCACCTGACCTTTCATGTTGTAAGGAACCCAACCGTAGTAAGATGGAGTCTTGTACTCAATGATGTAGTTGGTTACGGAAGCTCCACCTGTGCTTCTGGGGGGTGTCCAGATCAGCTGGACACTGTTCTTGTTAATGACGGATACAGTGGGAGCCGACGGTGTAGATGGTTTGCCTAAAAAGTGCATGAAATTATAACTGGCTTGAATTTTATAGACATTTTTTGTATTAAAATTTAATATAACTATTTTCAACTGTACAACTGACCGAACAAGTCCCTGACAACAATGGGACCAAAGACGTCAGATGGCTGACTCTCTCCTCCATCATCTCCAATTGAAATCACACGGTACTCGTAGCTTCCACCTTGATTAAAAAGTATTCAATAAATTTCTCAAAAATATCATTAAACAGCAATCGCATCATGTCATGTCGTGTGTTTTCTGTAATTGAAATCCCTTAAATCAAAATTTATTTCACTATTCATCTGACTAACTGTCGAAAATAATTTTATCGATGTAGTACGTGTCCAGTATTGGCGTGGCGTTCAGCCGCGTGAACGGGCCGCTCGAGTAGGCTGACCTCTTCTCGATATTGTAGCCTGGTTGTGTGCAACGTTCATTTAATATATCGTTTCGTATCTAATTACGGAATCGTAACAAAATTTCGTATCGCAACAAAATTTCCAAATAAATGAATAGACCAAAAATGGTTGAATATTAACCAAAAACAAACACCTCTTAAAAGACAAATGATGTGAGAAGACGTGAACCAAGGTGATTTTGGTTTATGCGCACGTTACAAAAATTTGCTGATCAGATCTTAAATTAAAACAAAAAAAACGAACGATGCTTCGTAAAAATGAATGAGGTCAGTAACTGAACCAACCTTGAATTGGAACTTGACCTCTAGGCGGCTGCCACTGCAGAGTTACCGATGATTTGTTAGAGTCGATCAATTCCAAATATCTCGGAGGTTCGGGAATTTCTATTTTTAAATTATTATAAATAATAAAATAATTATAAATAATAAAATATTGATAAATAATAAAATAATTATAAATAATAAAATACTGATAAATAATAAAATAATTATAAATAACAAAATAATTATAAATAAAATTAAAGTATTTCTAGTTTTTCATTAATAACAACTTGCAGCAACAGGATTCTAACCGTATATGGTGCGAATTTCGATTGGTTCCCTAGTCTCCAGGGAATATCCAACGCCCACATCATTCTCTCCAGAAACTCTAAAGTTGTAGCGGCTGCCAGGTAGCAGCCTCGTGACTTTGTAGCTTCTTGCCGTGTTGTCAACTCTGCCAACGGTCGTCCACGGCCCTCTGGCGGCGTCACTCTTATCAATGACGTAACCGGTAATCGGAGATCCGCCATCTATTTCCGGTTGGTCCCAGGCGAGTGTCACCGAGTCGGTTTCCATGGAAAGAATGCGCATGTTTGTCGGGGAGGACGGAGGAGCTAAAGAATAGAACAATTAAAAATTTATGGTTATTTTCGTTGCTTCTATTGCAAATCTCAAAAATGCAATTTTGTGTTGCGAAGAAAACGTTCAAAATGTAAGCAATTAAGCCAACTAACATTTAACGATGATGTCGATCTGCAGCCTAGCCACACCAGCCACATTTTCAACTTCTATTTCGTATCGGGCAGCGTCTTCTGGTTCGACACCCGATAATGTCAAGGTCGAGAAACCGTGATCACGTGTTTCGATCATGATTCGTCCAGGTATGTGGACCAATGGTAGTCCGTTCTTTCTCCATGTGACTTTCGGAGGCGGGTAAGACGAGTAGTTGATTGGCAGGTGGATGGTCGACCCACGTTTCACCTCGTACATTACTTGAGACGTTTTTTCAATAAGGGGCGGCACTGTGAATGAGTAGGGTTAAGGTTTGAACTTTTCATAGACAACTTCAAATATTTCAAAATTTTAATTCGTCAAATCAAACAAAGCAGAATAAACGGATCAAATAACATAGCATGGTAATCAAAAACAGTCACCGCTTGTAACAGGTTACCGTTCTCTTATTCTTAAAAAAAATTTAGAGCATCCATAAATTGACGGTTCATTTTATTATACCAAATATATAATTGCTTTGATATTCCAAATATATACTATTACTTTAAAAATTAAAAAAACTTATTTCAGTAAATAATTATTCTAATTAATCAAAAAGAAAATGAAAAATGTGAGAGAGCCATGGTATTCCAAAATAAATTAATTTAAAAAAGGACTAGTACAAAATTTCATATGTATAAAAGACGCACAACATCACACATTAATATAATTTTTTAATTTTTCTTAAAAAATCAGAACTTGACAGACAATACAATATTATAAAATGAGAAAACTAAATAACGGAGTAAGTAGGTTGAAAATTAAAAATAATTTGGAAATGAGAAATATCTATTAACCGTGCACAGTAAGTCTGGCCGTAGTTTTAACTCTGCCGTGTTGGTTGTACGCCTCACAAGTGTAAACACCTGCATCCGCCAGTTGAACGTTATTTATGGAGAGGTACGCTGAATCGTTGGAGTACCCAGGTGAGTATTTGTTGGAGAGCTGGAGTTCCTGGCCGTCCTTGAACCTAAAACAGAAAATGCTAATGTCTCATTATCATTTTTTGTAGTAACATACTTTAAAAATCCTCACAACTTAAATCTAAACAGTAAAATTGTATATTACATATCAAAATTATAACAATTAAGATTGAACAAAACAATTGAACATACACAATTACACAGGCACTACCACGGTTAAACATTCATCAAATAACACGGAGTGCAAACGATAAGATAAGAACACGTGCATGATACAATACAAACAAACCATTTGACGTTGGCTCTCGGTTTACCAAGTAGAACGTCGCATTCCAACTTGACGGTTTCACCTTGCAGTGCACTTATGTTGACCATGGGAGAGAGCACGGACGGTTCCTTGCTGTGCACTGGAACCAACATTTCACAGGTCACAAAGGAAATTATAATATAAGAATAATGAACGATAACGCTATAAACACACGTTGGCGAACAAAAACAAAAACTAAAAGTGATGTTCAACCCCAGAAAGTAACAACTGTACGAACATTCAACAATATTCTTAGTCCTGATGGGCGGCGTAACATCACTGCAGGCACCCAAGCCAGCTCTGTTCTCGGCGGCCACTCTGAATTCATATTCCACATCCTCGCTCAGTCCCGTCATTTTGAAATTTGGCTCAAGAACATGGTGGCCAATGTTGACCTTGTTCCAGTTTCCGTATCCACCTTTTCTCACTTCGATGACGTAACCTCTGACATCATCGTCTCCGTCGTAAGAAGGAGGATTCCATGTCAAATTGCACGAATGTTTTGTGACGTCACTTACTCGAAGTCCTTCCGGTGGACCTGGTTTACTCCAGGGATCACGAGGTGTGAGTGGTTGCGTGGCTGCACTTGGTTCAGCTGAAAAAAATTACCCAGATTTAATGGGATGAAAGTTTAATTTTGACCCAATACAAAGAAAAATATAATAAATTTATTATTCAGAATGAAGCAAGTAAAAAACAAACAACTAAAACTAACAAAGTCCAGCTTCATTTTCAGCAATGATCCTGAACTGATATGAACCATCATCAGTTAAGTTGCCCGCTCTGAAGTTGTTGTTCCTGATAGGAAATGTCGTCAACCTGACCCAATTAGGTCGAGTTAGACTGCGCTGCTCAACATGGTACCCAGTAACGTGAGGCGAACCATCGTACCTCCATGGCGGCCAGTTGAGGCTGATTGATTCTTTCGAGATGTTCGTCGGTTCAGGAGCTTGGGGCTGTTGGGGTGGGGCTGTGAAGAAGATAACATCAACAAATCATCATCCACGTCATCATAATTTGCGATTTTATTGATAAAATGCTTGCTATTTTTGTTTGGCATTATTATCCGAATACTTTGTCATTTTTAGAATTATTAATAATATTTAATTGGATTGCAACGAAAAAATTGATCTATATACATAACGAGGGTTTCACTGTAATAGTCTTGTCCAACTCCTCGGGCGAGCTTGAGCCCACCTCATTAACAGCCACTACTCTGAACAAGTAGTTGGTTCCTTCATTGAGGTTCTGAACACGGAACATAGTATCTTTGGTAAAGGCTAGTTGTGTCCATGACATGCGAAGTGCCTCCCTTTGTTCGATGACATAATGAGTCACGGGACTTCCTCCGTCATCACGCGGTGGCATCCAAGTCAAGGTCAAGCCATCACCAGAAACATCTCTGCATTTGAAATCTCTTGGCGGAGATGGTTTATCTGATTATGAAAAGTTGTCGTTTAGTAGTGATCGTGTCACCTCAAATTGTCAAGTAGTGAAAAATCAAGTTGAAAAAAAGATGAACCAACCTATAACGATGACTTTGACCTTGAGTTGTCCGCTACCAAAATCATTTTCTAACTTCAAACTATAAGTTCCAGCATCACTTCTATCGACTCTCGATAGAATTAAAGTTGTGAGATCGTGGTCGTTATCGACGCGAACTCTTCTCGACTCGCGTAAAGGACGACCTTCATAGTTCCAGATGATCTTAGGCTGTGGACTGCCTGTGAATGGAACTTCGACGGATGCTGACGTGCCAGCCTTCAAAACGAGAGGCTGCATGAAGCGGTCTGAGTGGCGAATTTGAGGACTGGCCTCGACATCCAATCGTGCTTCGGATCGATGACCTGCAAGGTTATAAGGATTTAAACAAATATTTGAAGCACTGATTATGACAAGTGCATTCGCTTATGACAATTTATATAATGATGAAATAAATTATTAATAATTTATTTTTTATATGCGAATTTAAAAAACAAATGTATCAATAAAAAATTTTTAAAAATTCAATTGAAATAACAAAAACTTAAAAAAAACAAGCAAAACAACCTTTAATGACAACCGCATAATCTCCGACATCTCTACTGTCCACATCACGTACGGTCAATCTGTAACTTCCACCGTCCATTCCCATGTCATATTTTGGTCCTGGTTTAAGATCGAATCCATCTTTCAACCAATGAGCCACTTTTTCCGGTTTGGTGACTTCGCATTCAAAAGTTACGGGCTGTCCAATGGTGGTTGTCCTGAGATTGCTCAGCGGTCTCTTGAACTGGATTGGTTCGTCTGCTGCGAGTTGTCAATTATCAAATGGTAATAGCAATTAAATCTTATGAAAAAAGACGTCAAACTAATTCAAACGTTTCATTTTTATCATCATCATCATCGTCATCATTATCATCATTTTTCACCAGCATCTCACCATATTTTTGTGTTCTGACTGTTCCGGAAGGATTGCTCAGCCCTGCTTTATTTTCTGCCATGACACGAAATTCATAATCAGTTTCTGGCAACAAATTTTGCAGAGTCAAAGAGGTGTCTTTAACGCTAGTAGGATGAGCGTTCTGCCAATAAAACGTTCCAATCGGTCTCATTTCAACTTTATATCCAAGTATTGGACACCCCCCATCAAAAAGTGGACGACTCCATTTTAATATTAGCTTGTCTTTTTGTAGAGGTGATATTTCTGGCAAGCCTGGTGGAGCAGGTCGTTCTGAAATTACGTTGAAACAAAAAAGTTTGAAAAAATTTATAGTTTTTTCAAAATTTTTTCAAAATTGTATTACAAATCAAAAAGAACTCACCGAACGGATCTTTAATTTTAATAGGCCCAGTAGAATCCGAGGGCCGTCCACTTCCCGCTTCATTAACAGCGATCACTCTGAACTCTTTTTCTCCATCAACCAGATCTCTCACATGACATTCGAGGTTTCGGTTTGGTCCCGTACTTACTTTGGTCCATCTCGGGTTGTAGGGTGATCTGCTCTCAATTATGTAGTGGTCAATTGGGGAGCCACCATCGTTCAATGGTTCAGACCAGGTCAGTCTGATCGAGTTCCTTGTTATGTCACTTGCTCGCAAATTCATTGGTGCATCTGGAGTCGCTATAGAAAATTTTTTTTCAAGATAATGAACCATTAAATAAAAACTTAATAAAATGAAATAAATATTTTTAGCTATAAAAATAAATAGTAAAATAATCAGATAGTACTAACTATAAGGTGGTTTGGCAGTGATGGGCTGACTGATTTGCACAAACTCACTCAACCCCACCTCGTTCTCAGCAGCAACGCGGAATAAATAATTGCAACCTTCCCACAATTTACAGATTCTATTCTTCGTAACGTCTGGCAACGTTCTAGAGGTTCCTATCCAGTTATTTTTTGAAGCGTCTCGTTTCTCAACGACGTAAGCAGTTATGGGCGATCCACCATCATGCAATGATCGATCCCAAGAAATTTCCACACTGTCGCTCGTGACGTCGTTCACACGAAGATTTCTGGGAGCTGATGGCTTGTCTGGTGATTTAAAAGAAGTAGAAGAATTAATATTTTTAGGTTTAAACACTGATCATAATGATGAAAAAGGAACACTGATATTGTAACCAAATTTGAGTAATGAAATTATTGTCTGCCCAATAAGCGAGCAAAATAATAAAAGTACTTGACGAAAAATTTAAACCTTTAACGAAAACATCGAAGGATGCAATTCTACTTCCAGCCTTGTTGGCGACCTTGACCTTGTAGGTCCCACTGTCGGATGGCTGTACATTGTTAATGCGCAGGTAACTGTGGGATGGACCAGAAGTAATATTGCACCTCCCACCTGTACTCACGTGACCTCCATCTAACGTCCAATCACAGGTCGGAGTGGGAAATCCAGTAAAGGTTAAATCAAGGTCAAGATTTTTCCCGGCTTTTAAAAATATTGGCTGTTTAAGGCGGGAATCGTATTCAATTTCTGGGTGTTCTACAAAGTAAACAAATTTGTAAAATTAAAATTAATGAAACAAGTAGCAAAAATTGAAATGAAACCGTACAGACGCACGTTTAGAAAGTACTTACTGTAAACTGTGAGGATGGCCGCGTCATCAACGACTCCCATTCCGTTGACAATTTCACATCTGTATCTCCCGCCATCACCAGGTTCGGTTTCCTTGACAACCAATGAAGCTTTGTTGTCCCAGAAAAATGTGTCGTATTTCCGACTGGGTCGAATTTCACGCGAGTCTTTGTACCTAATGGTGACGTAATGAAATTAAGGTACGCTTAAAAATTAATTATTGTTAATGTAAATAAAGTTATTTTTTTAAAGCATAAAAATAACAATAATCTAGAACAAAGCTTTTAACGGAGATTATGGTATGCAAAATAAAAAATCTTTGAATTGACGATAATCTAGAAAAGCTGCTGTCAAACCATTTGATTTGAACATCTCTGGAACCCGGAATAACATTGCATTCAAAAGTTACAATATCCGGTGACGTCACAACTTGGTCCTTCATGTGGGAAAGCAGACGTGGCGGTTCTGAAGCTGTTAAATAAAATTTACGAAACAATTTCAAAATGAATGTACTTTGAAATTATTTAGTAAAATAAGTTTTAATTTAAATGCAGAAAAAACTCTAATAATACTCCTTAAACAATTTAAAAACAACTTTTTTTTAATGAAATGCACTGAAAAAATAGAAGTTTTACTGGCTTAAAACATCTCAAACTTACAACACAATCATTGTATGTGTTTATAATTTATTTATCAAGCAATTTTAAATTAAACAAAAAAAATGAGCATGTATTAACATATTTTATTAGTTAATTCTGTTATCACAGGAGATTGGGTACCTTATAATGCGTCGATAATAAAAATTTCAGAAAACAATATAGAAAGAAGAAAATAAACTATTTTCAAAAAACTTAAGATATGCTGACGTTTTGGTCTATCCAAAGCCCAATCAGATTCGCTGCTTGGACCAAATCCCATTTTGTTCTGAGCACTGACTCTGAACCTGTAGTCAATATTTGATTTCAGTCCCTTAGCCAAGTATTTAGTGTCCGATATGAGGCCATCATTGCCGTTTGAAACAGGTCTCCAGTTGTATGCAGATTTATCTTCACAGTTTTCCAAAAGATAGGAAATGATTGGTAATCCTCCGTCACTCATTGGAGGAGTCCACGTTACGTCATAAGATGTGTCATCCAATCGCCGTGCTTTTGGACTTCCGGGTTTTCCTGGTTTTTCTATAAGATTTAATTATTGTTGAATCAATATTTAAAAAATATATTGACACCAATTTCGCAAAAATTCAAAATAACGATATGAACTAGTTCATTGGAATTACAGCTAAAATTAGTTAAAACATTGAACTAACTCCATTGAGATTCTGCAGTTACAGGTTTAGAAACTTCGCTGGGCTTGCTTGAACCTACTTTGTTAACGGCAGTAACTCTGAATTCATATGTGGTGCCCTCGTAAAGATCTCCAACAGTCGAAGACGTGTCAGGTATTGGTTCCTTATTGACAAACACCCACTGCCTCGATGTATCACTTCTCCTTTCAACGAGATAGCCTGTCAATGGACAACCTCCGCTATCGTCAGGCGGCGACCATGAGACTTGCATCGAATTCGATTTCACATCCGATACCAATGGTCGACGAGGTGGAGAAGGTGGAGCTTAAATAAAAAGAATTAATGAAAACTTCGTAAAAAAAATTATTAGCTTAAATGGCAAAAGCTTATTAGAAATGTATTAAAAATGAAAATATAGAAATACATGTAAATGATAAATGTCAACTAGATTAACTTACAGAATTGACTTTTGACGGTTAGAGCCACTTCGGCCGCGGGACCTTGCCCAACTTCATTTTCGGCTGACACCCTCAACACATATTCATTTCCAGTGATCAATCTGATAACCCTATATTCACATCGATCGCTTGTCCCGACAGGTAAATTGACTGACTTCAATTTGTCTCTCCTCTCAATGACATATCTGGTTATGGGCTTGCCGCCATTTTGTAGAGGCGGACGCCATTTCAACGAAACACTGTTTTCTGTTACTTCTGTCACTTCAAGATTTTCTGGAATGCTGGGCTTTCCTAGAAATTAATTTGCAAATTATTATTATTATTATAAAATTTTTTACCATAAAGAAATTTAAACAAACCAAGAACTTTGACATCAAGATCGACAGAAGATTTTCCGTAGGGGTTTTCAACGACAACTCTGTACTGACCAGCATCTTTCAAATCTGCCCTGCTGATCTTCAACGTGGTGGAATCTTTATTGACAGGACACGACACTCGGTGATCGGAGTAGAGAGGTCTGCCGTTCAATGTCCACGCCACCTTTGGAGTCGGCCAGCAAGAAAATGGTATTTCTATAGAAACGGTCTCTCCTTCTTTCAGAACAATTGATTTGTCAAGGTGACTCGACGATAGCGTTGGCGGCACTGTTTTGAATGAAATAAATAAATATTGCGAGTTGTTTTAACGCCAAAATAAAATATTTCAGAAAGCAAGTAAAAAAACAAAAAATGTAACTTAAAAATAAAAGATATTTATACTCTTTTAAATACCTTTCAAGTCTAGATTAGCCGAGACTTTTTGATTCTTGAAAGCAGCAGAGTAAACTCCTTCGTCGCCACCACTTACATCTCGAATGGTCAGCCTGTGACCAGTATGCGACGTATCTGTGACGTATTTAGGTCGGCTTCTGCTGATTGGTTCACTTCCTTTATACCACGTAATCGGAACGCCTGGTTTGTTGAGGCTGCATTCGAATGTAGCCGTCGCCGGAAATTTAGTGATGGTGACATCACTCAAAGGTTTGTCAAAACGCACATTGTTGTCGGCTTGAAGCAAATGATTAAAAAAAATTTAGTAAAATTTGCATTTTAACTGGTAAAATTACCGCATTGAATCTGCAAATTGAAATTCTTTTATCAAATTTTTTCTTACAACATACCTGAATATTTAACTGATCTGGTTGAAGCCGGCTCGCTTGATCCCATTTTATTTTCTGCGTAAACTTTGAACTCGTAGTTTAAATCGGGTTTGAGACCGCTGACGTCCATGTTTGTCGATGTGTGTTTCCTTGAGAGGTTCACCGGCTGTTGTGACAATGTGAGTTAATTTATAGCACTCTCTCGAGGAAATTTAAAAAAAAACCTTCTTTATATTAAAATTTGTTCATTTGTCGTTAAAATTAATTGCTCACATTTATTATATACATTCATTATCTAATGTTATTATCTATTTGTTGAATTTATTTAAATCTGCTTAGTAATTCTTGCATTGTCGTCGAAAAGTTTTACGCGCCTCATTCATCGAAGATATTTTAAATTTTCCCGCCAGAGCCTTTTAATAAAAAACCTTCCACACTTAGAGATTTAATTATTCAATCGAAGTTGGATTAAATTTGATTTGTTAATTTAACGCTCATCAATTAGGATACGCTTGCTAAAATGAAAATCGTACCTTCCAAGAATAGTCTTTGTTGGATTTCATTTCTACTTTATAATTAGTAATGGGTGAGTTGCCATTATTCTCCGGCTCCTTCCAGTTTAAGATAATTTTATCATCCTTCACCTCCGCTTGAAAATCTCGTGGTTTTGATGGCTTCGAGAAAGGATCTTTTGCTTTGATGACTCCAGTGGTGTCAGATGGTGGTCCGTTGCCAGCTTCATTTACGGCCAACACTCTAAACTCGTAGTCTTCCCCAGGAGTCATCTGATCCTTCCACCTGAAATATAATGACGTCACGGGTAATCTGTTTATGGGCGTCCACTTGCTGCTGTGGCCCTGGCGTTTCTCGATGATGTAACCAGTTACGGGGCTTCCCCCGTTTGACTTTGGCGGTTGCCAGGCCAATTCAATTGATGTTTTATCTACCGATTCAATAGTTAGATTCAGTGGCTTTGATGGCACATCTGAACAAATAAAGTTAATGCAATATTACGATGATCGGGGACATTTTTGTGAACTACTTATACATTTGCAGGTGTGGCATTGTGTTGAGATTTAATTTTCACCAAATATTTCCATGAATAAAATTATTAAAGTTTAATCATTCGATCGATCAATCAATTACATAACAAACATTACATTATTGATTATCAATCAAAATAAGTAAAATGTCGATGTTGAACTGTCTCACCAAAATTAAGTGACGCTTGAATAGCTTCATCAAACTGCACAGACGGACCGACACCGATGCTGTTCTCGGCGGCCACTCTGATTTCATATGATTCACCTTCCTGCAAATTTTTTACTTTGTACTTCAAAGTATCTCCCCCAACTTCTCCTGCCTTGGTCCATCCTTTCCTCCCCTCTTTCTTCTCAATGAGGTAACCCAAAATGGCTGAACCGCCATCTTTTTCCGGGGCTTTCCACGTGATCGTTATGTAATCTCGGCCTTTGTCGTTCATCTGCAGGTCTTGCGGAGCTGACGGCTTGTCTGATTATATTCAGGTTAAGTAAATTTTCTTTTTTCAAAATAGCAAAATATGTTATATAAGAAAATACATTTATTCAAATTGAGGTATTATGTTGAAAAAAATTGGAAATAATTACACTCTAATTAAAAAAATGCAAATACCTAGCACTGAGACATCTATGGTGCCGGAATCAGTCCCAACATCATTGACTGCCACTATCTTGTACATCCCTGTTCTATCCCCAGTGACATCATTTATTTTCAAAGTGGCAACTTCACCATTGTAATCCATTTTGACATTAGTGGAAAGTTCCACAAGTTCATCACCACAGTACCACTCAACTTTCGGTTGTGGATTTCCTGTAACTTCGGCAACTAAGGTCAATGTCGTCGATGCTTTGCACTTTTGAAGCCCCTTGTACAGCGGTTGTATAGTAACTTTCGGTTTTGAATGTACGATTAGGTTAGATTCAGATTTTGCACTGCCGATTGAGTTTTCCAGCTCGCATTTATACTTGGCAGCGTCGTTAAGTTGAGCATCGCTTATAGTGATTTGCAATCGTTTTCCGCCGTCGACAACATCCCAAGTGACTTTTGATCCTTTGTACAACTCTTTGGAACCTCTGAAAATCAGAACTTTTGATTCGGGTTCTCCTAAATCAACTTTGCACTCAAGAGTTGCATCATCGCCCAGCGTGCAAGTTACGTCTGTCAAGTGCGAAAGGATTTTGGGTGCTTCGCCACCTATAAATGAGCAGACCATTAATACATTTTTAAAAGTTAAATCTGATAGGGAAATTAACAGAGTGTCGGAGTCGGTCAAAGTCAGAAATTTTTGACGGAGTCGAAAATTTTTTATCCGACTTCGGTAAAAAATAAAAAATTATATTTTTTTTTCTAAAATTTTTTTCAAGATTTTTTTTCAGAGGATAAATATATGTAGTGATAATACTGAAAATATGTGCTAATAATTTGGATAAAATCACATAATTTTTTTCAGTATGTTGCAAAACATAAAAATAAAGTAGTTTAACTAAGAAAAACAGATACATTGACTGATTTTGAGTGTTTTTTAAAGTATTTATTAATTAGTAGTGATAATAAGGTGAAGTTATGATGCACAAGTAGAATTTTTTTCATTATGTTGTAAAACATAAATATTAAGTAATTTTACTAAGAAAAAAAATTACATTTACTAATATTAAGTGTTTTATGAAGTGTTTTTATTTAGTAATGATAATAAAATGTATGATGAAAAAGTTTAAAATTTTTTCTGAAATAGAATTAAGTTATATTTTAATAAAAATTGACTAAATATACGATCTACACATTTATTTTAACAATTTGTTAACCTGATAAGCTGGATGCAAGCTGTGGCTTCGAACTTTGAGAATATTTACCGACACCAGCTTTGTTCTTTGCAGCAACTCTGAACTCATACGTCTGCTGGGGCTTCAGCCCTCTCACCACCAATTCGTTATCCGTCACCAAATCATCTCCGTACGGCGTGGGGGACCATGTGCTGCTGCCTATAGGTCTCATTTCCAGCAAATAACCATCAATCAAGCAGCCGCCCGTGTCTTCAGGTGGCGACCATGTGACCTTCATGGAAGTATCTTTTACGTGGCTGGTGCATGGAATTCCTGGTGGTCCTGGCAAAGCTGCATAGCAAACAATCATAGGTAAATAATTCACAAATTTTTTTATTAATTTGTCTTGATAAATTTATGCAGAGGAAATGAAAGAAAAAATTATAGTCAAAGCTGCACAGTAAACAATCACATGTGATTAATGAGCAAATTTCATAATAATGTTGAATTATTTCTGATAAAATTTGTGCAAAGGAAAAAAAAGAGAGCCAAATAATAAACAAAGGTATATGTGCGTCGCTAACAACACATGGGCATACGGTGTTCTACAATAAAATATGAAAACTATAATGCGTACTCCATGGATTTTTAGCCACAATTGGTTGACTGGGTCCACTGGGTTGACTCAAACCAACTTTGTTTTCGGCCAATATTCTAAATTCATATTTCGAATCTTCATTCAGATCTGTTACCTCGTACTCAGGCTTATCGGCTTTTAATTTCATAGGCAGCCATCTTGTGCCCACCTTCTTTTCCACCACATACCCGGTTATTTCACTTCCACCGTCAGAGTCCGGCTTCTTCCAAGTCAACTTGCATGTAGAGGAGGTTACATCAAATACTTCTGGAACACCGGGAACACTAGGAACAGCTGGTTAGTGTGTGAAAATATGAAAATAAATTAAATTAACAAATTAAAACGTCGATAGCTATTTTTTAAAACACTAAGTAATTTTGAGTACATAAAATCTGGAAAGCACTAACTGAATTGACACTTAGGTTGCACCATTTGGTCCAATTCAACAAATTCACCAACACCCACTGAATTTTCTGCGGCCACCCTGAAATTGTACTTGTTTCCTTCGAAGAGTCCAGTTGCCAGGGCTTCTAAATTTGGAGTGTTGGTCACTGATTGCCACATTTTGCGCTGGCCTTCCTTTTTCTCCACATTATAACCCGTGATGTCACTTCCGCCATCTGTATCAGGCTCGCCCCATGTAAGAGTCACCGTGTTTGATGTAACTGACTTGACGGCAAGATTTTTGATCGGACCCGGTTTGTCTAAAATGTTTTTACAATATTATTTTTCATTAATTTTTCAATTTATTCGTTGACAATTTTATTATACAAAAATTATATATATAATTTTATATTTTACCTATTGTTTTCAATTTTATATTCATAGTATCTTTTCCAAAGGGGTTTTCTAAGGTCAAGGTATACAGACCAGCGTCAGAAGCTTTCATTTTGTTTAAATTTAAAGTGGCATGATTGTATATTGTCTCAGGTCTTATGCGAGTTGGATCTGGAAGGAACTGACCATTGAAAGTCCAGGTCACTTTTGGTTGGGGATGGGCCGTGAACGGAACTTCCATTGAGATAGATTTTCCAGTTGCTAATATTAATCTGGTTTTATAGCTCTCGTCGTAGCTTCCGATTTTAGGTGCAACTGAAAATAAAATATACGTAGTAAATTAGAAATTAGAAAATAAACTTAGAAAATAAACACCTATATTTAGCTTCGTTGTATTTATCACTCGAGTTATCATTTTTATAAAATTCACAAATATAATTACAGTTACCTTCAACAATTAATTTAGCACTGGAAGTTTTATTCTTGAAAACAACGGAATACTCGCCCTCATCTTTACCTTCTACGTCTTTCACCACCAACTTTTGCACGTGACCCGAAACAATGATATCATATTTATCTCCTTTTTTGATGGGTCGATCGTTTTTGAACCATTCCACTTTCGCATTTTCTTCTGCCAGCAAACAATCAAAAGTTGCTTCACTTGGTATTTCAGTGACTCTCTGATCTTCTAACTGCTTCTCAAACACTGCCGTTGGCTCTGAAACAGAAAGGTACGTTTAAATTGATTAAATTATATAAATTAATTTATATCCTAACCATATTTAACAGGCGCAGATGGTTCAGAGTATGGACCTGACCCAATTTTATTATCTGCTCTGACCCGAAAAGTGTATTCCGTACCAGGTTTCAATCCATTTATGACGTGTGTTAACAGCGTTATTGGTTGACCCGGATTGACTGGAACCCACCCAACAGCACTTCCTGCTGCCTTCATTTCCAGTAAGTAAGTCAAGTCACCAGCGGTATCTTTCGGTGGGCTCCAATTGACAGTGGCAGAGTTAGGTGTCATGGCAGATACTCCAGGTCTTCCAGGTTGACCTGGTTTCTCCTGTTTATCTTTGATTGTAATAGGTCCTATAGAATCTGAAGGCTCACCAGGTCCAGCTTTGTTAACTGCGATCACTCTGAAGAGATATGATGCTTTATCTGAAAGGTCAGTTACTCGGTGCTGAAGGTCAGCGACTGGTGATTTTGTTATCCTCATCCACTTTCCTCCGTGACCTCCCTGTTGCAACAGTTCAATATGGTATCCACTGATTGGTGAACCTCCATCTGATTCTGGAACTGCCCACTTTAAAAGACATGATTTATTTGTGACTTCGTCCGCATTCAAATTGCGTGGTTTCCCTGGGGGAACTTTTTTGAAAATAAACAATAATTATTTTTCATGAGTATCACCCTTAGTACATGCGTATAATAAATGCACGTGTATTATATTATTTTGTAAAAATTATAACAAACGGTAAAATGCTGGGTACATACCATCAGCTTAAATTGTTAATGTCTACAATTTTTCTTGGAATGTAAAAAAATTAAAAAACACAAATGTTGATTTAGATAGTAAAAATAGCATAGAAATACGACGTACCAAACCCATGTCCACCGACGTAAGGTTGGTTTGTTTCGGCGGCAGGTCCCACGCCGATTTTGTTCTCGGCTGACACGCGAAAGAAATATTGATTGCCTTCGTACAATTTGTCAACTGTGGCTTGCATGGTTTCCTTGCTAAATGATGACACGGTCACCCAACTGCTTTTTGATGCTTCACGTTTTTCTACGATATACTTGAGGATGCCACTTCCGCCATTGGATTCAGGTTCATCCCATGTAACAACCGCTGATTCACTTGTTGCTTTCTTTACTTGGAGGTTGAGAGGTGCTGAAGGTTTGTCTGTGAAAATTTGAATTGTTTTAATATAATTTTTAAATAAAAAAATAATTATACGTAATTATTCAAATGAGCTTTCCAGTGACCAAGTTTTTGCGATTTGAACCTACGAACAATTGTTCAACTCAGTGAAAATAAAATCGAAAATTAAAATTTACTAAAGATTTTTGTTTAAGCAACAAAGGATTTTTTTTGTAAATTGCAAAACACCCTCAAGAACTAACCTAACACAACGATTTCAAATGACATTTCGGCTTCTCCGACTTCGTTGATTGCCTGAACACGATAAACACCAGCAACTTTAACACTGCATTTCTTGGCAAGCAGTGAAGTGGTGTCTTGTGTGACCGTAAACAGCGATCCATTCAGCGGCTCTTCAGAAAGGAGCCATTTGATGGATGGTGTTGGGGAGCCGGTAAACTTCAACTCAACACCCAACTGAGATCCAGCGTTAAACACCAGAGGTTCATTCAGCGGTTTGTCCGATGATAACGATGGCGGAACTGAATACGCAAAAATTATCAAGTACAAAAACTCATTATCGATTAATATAAAACTGATTTAGAAATATTTAAAATCATTACAACGTTTAAAAATGAGAGAGCGATAAAGTGTTTAACACATTACCTTGGACAACAACTTTTGCTTCGCATTCAACCTTTGACACTTTATTATCCAAAACTATTTTGTATGTGCCGGCGTCTTCAACATCAACTTTAATTTTTTCTAGAACCTCATCTCCGTTCTTTTCCGTGATATTATATTTTTTGAAATCCTTTATTTCGCGACCATCCTTAAACCACGATATTTTGGCCGCCGGTTGGCCTAACTCCACTTTTGACGATAACTTCAAAGTGTCGTTAATTTTCACTTTAACGTTTTCCAACGGTGTTATAATTTTTGGTTTAATACCAGCTGAAAATGTAAGTTGATTTATTTTAGTTTTATTTAATTTTATTTAAAAAACATTTTAAAATGTTTTAACGCGCAATATTGTTTTTATGATAACAAAAATAGAATGCAACATAAATTTAATGGTTCAAGCAATTACCTATTTTGTCCTCAGTTTGGATCGGCTGTTCAGTTTCGGCAAAAGGTCCAACGCCGGCTGTATTCTCAGCCGCTACTCTGAAATCATACATTTTGTCAGCTTTAAGTCCTTTTACTACATAAAAAGTGTCCTTGATCTTATCGTTTGTGGCTTTCTCCCATCTCACTGAATCTTCCAACTTCATCTCAATGACGTAATTTGTAATTTCACTTCCACCATCGTCTGTTGGAGGCGTCCAAGTTAGCGCGATCGAACTTTTGGTTGATTCTTTCATTTCCGGTGTTCCCGGCTTACCTGGCTTTTCTAAATTAACATTTTATTCATTCATTTAATTGAATATCCAACAATAACTATAGCAAAAATGAATTATATTAAATGTAACCAAATATTTTTATTTCATACCAAATGGATTTTTGGCAACCATTGGTTGTGATGGAGCACTCGGTTGGCCTCTACCAACTTTATTTTCAGCAGTTACTCTGAAAACGTATTTATTATCTTCCACCAAATCTTTTACATTAAGTTTAGTGTCCGGAATGATTTCTTTGTTGACGGATATCCATCTAAGAGGCCCTGAAGGAGCATCAGAAACTAGAGCTCTTTCAACATGGTAGCCGAGGACAGGGGAGCCACCATCGTCCGTAGGACAGGTCCACTGCAAGGTGCATGAAGTTGGTAAAATGTTGCTGACTTCGGGAGCAGACGGTGGACCAGGCGGGGCTAAGTGATCAGATGTGTTACCGATGTCAAATAAAAATTAAATTAATTTTTTGAATTTTCGTATTTTAGTTGCATTTTAATTAATTTTATATGAATGACATCACTAAATGTCTCTAAGTTATTCTAATAAAATTTTAATAAATATTGAAATAAAAAAGACTAATTTGACATTAAAACGAAATTTTACTCATCAAGGAAATAGTAACATGAAATCAATCCTATATCCCTTACAAAAAGAATGCTTTGCAGTGACGGGCTTTTCGGTTTCCACCCATTCTCCGACTCCGACATCATTTTCAGCTGCTACTCTCACATAGTACTGTTTATTTTCTGTAAGAGGAGATATTTTGAATTCCTGACTTTCCGGTGCAAAGTCAATTGTACCAGCTTTTTGCCACGTTCGACTGCTTGCATCTCTGTATTCAACTTGGTACCTAAGAACAGGTGAGCCACCATCATCATTTGGTTCCTCCCACCTCATCGTGATTGAAGTTTCGTCTACTGCTTTCATGTTGAAGTTTGTTGGAGCGCTAGGAACATCTGATAGCGAGTATTTTTACGTAAAATTGTAATTACATTAATCAGTATTTCAAACGTTTAAAAACAATGTTTACATTTATTAATTACATAGTAAAATGAACTCACCAATAACTTTAATCTTCATTTCAAACTCTGCCTGCCCTAATTTATTTTCAATCGCCAACTTATAAGCGCCAGCATCTTTACGAACGACCTTTGTTAATTGCAAGCTGCAAGTTTGAGGATTCGTTTGAACTTTAACTCGAGGAAATTTATTTGCATCTGGTAACTTATTTTGCCCGTTAAATGACCATTCTATGTTTGGTTCAGGACAAGCTTCATAAGGCACTTCAATAGTAACTGATGCTCCAACTTTTAATGTCATTTGATTTTCATAACTGTGCTTTCCAATTTTAGGTAAAACTGGAAAAATCAGGAAACGTGTATAAATCATATTAAATAAATTATAAGCTAGAAATTAAATAATTGATGATAGGCATCCTACCTTCATAAATAACTTTCCCGGTTGTAACTAGATCTTTATACTCTGCTGTGTAAATACCCACATCTTTAAAATCAGCCTTTGTTATAACCAATTTATGAGTTTTCGCAGAGGCTACTATTTTGAAATTTAAGTCAGTGGGCGTAAGTCTTTTCTTATCTTTGTACCAATCAAGTTTCAACCCTTCTTTAGAGATTTCACATTCTAGGGTAACAGTTTGACCAAGTTCTTCTAACTTTATTACCGTTAACTCTTTAGTAAATCGTAACTCTTCGGCTAGAAATAAGTTATTTCAAATTAAAATCAAACGAAAATTTGAGTAAAACTTCACAGCAAACTTCAATTAGAAGTTAAAAATGTAAATAATTTACAATTAATACACACGTAAAACATGAATAAATGTGCTAACAATATTTAGCTGGAACTGATGGAGCAGATGGTTGACCTTGACCTACTTTGTTGACGGCACTTACTCTGAACTCGTAACTTTGGCCATCTTTCAAACTAGTTACTTTAAAATATAACTCTTTTACAGTACCAGAAATTATTTTCCAGTTGTTTCTGGCCTCTTTCATTTCAATAACATAATGCACGATTTTAGAACCTCCATCGTTTTCAGGGGGTGCCCATGTAAGCTGACATGATTCTTTGACTAACTCACTCACCTATTTTGATACGATTTATAGTAGTTTAGTTTCGTTTTTTAATCATTATTTTAATCTTTTTAAAATAATTATTTGAATAAAAAACAAGGAAGAATCTAATAATAAGTTTTAAAACAAACGCTTTTTTGGTTGTGTACAACGTATCAAAACTTACAGTTGGCTGTCCTGGAGGTCCCGGTTTATTGAATTGATCTTTAGCTAAAAAGACACCAGTTGTATCAGATGGTTCGCTAACGCCAAATTTATTTTCGGCTAAAACTCGCATTTCGTATTCGTTACCTTCTACCAAATCTGAAAAGTTTTTCTTCAAATCAAAAAGTGGGTTTTTATCGACTTTGAAAAATTTTGATTTCTGGCTCGACCTTTCAACCCAATAACCAGTGATTGGTGATCCTCCGTCTGTTTTGGGAACGTCCCAAAAAAGCTCGCAGGAAGTTTTAGTAACGTTTTGTACCCTTACGTTTTGAGGTGGACTAGGCGGTCCTAACTTACTTACTATTGCTACTGGTTCTGTGATTGTCACCCATTCACCTTGGGCTACTTCGTTGACCGCTGCAACTCTGAATAAAAATTGACCGCCGTCTGTTAGTTGAGGAACTTTAAACATCAGTGTTTGACTGCTTTCGTGTTTACCAATTGCAGAGAAACTTTTTTTTACAACATCCGCTTTTTCAATGATATAATGTTTAATTGGCGATCCGCCATCATTTTCGGGTGGTTGCCATGACAACGTTATTTCGCCATTAATGTCAGAAGTTTGTAAGTTAATTGGAGCAGAAGGCTTATCTAAGATTTGAAGTTAAAAAAAGTCAATATAATAAATATTTTTCTTTTATTTAAAGTATACACAAACCTTTAACGAGCACGGAAAACTCAGCTGAATCTTCTCCAACTTCATTCAATGCCGTCAATTTAAACTTGCCAGTATTAGCTTTTGACGTTTTCTTTAATGTTAATTTACACGTATTTCTATCTTGACTTACAAGTACATTAGCATCAGGTTTAACGTCAGTAGGTTGAGCATCGGATTTGTTACTAAAAAAAGACCAGACGACATTTGGTTTCGGAGAACCTGTAACATTTGCCGAGATAACTAAAGTTGAGCCAGCGTTTGAAACAACTATTTTACTATCTTTAAATTTAGCTTCAGGCTCAACTTTTGGAGCGGATTTAACACTCACTCTACAATTTGATTCAACTTTACCAATTTTATTAGAGACCAGTACTTTAAAAACACCGCTATCATCATCGACCTTGGAGGGAACAATTTTCAAAGAAAGAGTATTGTCATCCTGTGTTGTCAAAAATCTATTGCCAGGTTTTATTTCTTTATTATTTTTATCGTACCAGGTAACTTTAGCATTTATTAACGATCCGGGTTTCAAACTACATTGTAAGAAAATTTCTTCGGGTTGAATGACGGATATATCAGACAAGAATTGTGTGAAATCCGGATGAATTTCTTATATAAAAAATAATTACAAAAATTCTTAATAATTTTTGCCAACATTACTGAACAAAGCAAATAAACATTTCAAAAGAAATACCTTTCTGCGTCTCTTCTACTGGTTTTTCTTCTTCAGGTTTTATTTCATCCTTTTTCTCTTCAACAGGTTTTACATCTTCTACTTTTGGAGCTTCAGCATCTTTAGCTACAAAACTACCGGATGGTTTGGAATAGACACTTGGCCCAGCCGCGTTCGAAGCTGACACTCTAAACGAACATTCACTTCCAGGAGTTAGATCGTTGACTTCGTATTGAGTAGTTGTAATAGGTTCTTTGTTGATTTTTATCCATTTTCCAGTTTTGCCGACCTGCTTTTCTATGTCGTATCCTATTACCGGTGAACCGTTATCTGATTCGGGTGCCTCCCATGTAACGAGACAAGACGATTTTGTAATGTTGTCTACCAGAACGTTTTTGGGTTCCGAAGGCGGACTTTGAACGGCAACATTAACGGTATGTTCAATTTTTCCATTTTTGTTTTCGATAACGACTTTATATTCCCCGGCATCCGTCGGAGCAACTTTCATCATTGTCAATTTCGCTGACGTTTGCGATGTTAGGGGTTTTATTCGTGCGTCGTCCGGAAGTTTGTCTTGTCCGTTGTAATACCAAGTGACTTTAGCGGGTGGAACTGATAGAAAAGCTAAATCTACCATTGAGGTAACGCCGGGTTTCAAAGTCAGCTTGTCTGCCATATCCGGTTTGGTGAATTTTGGAGGAGCTGTAATCAAATTTAACAGTATAATAATTTATTGTAACAAAGTGTTTGATTATTTTACCTTTTAAGATAAGTTTAGCCGCCGATTTTAAATTGCCTTGTCTGAAAAATATTGTATACTCTGCCTCATCATCAGGAAGAACATTTCCTGTTATCTCCAGTCGGTGTTCCTTTCCTTGTGTAACGAATTTCACGCGATTCGATGGTTTCAAGGGCTTTCCGTTTTTCAACCACTCAGGTTTCATGTTATCTTTTTCGGTTTGGCAAATGAAAACCATCGGTTGCGCCAGATCTTCAATAATTACTTCTTTCAGTGGCGTCAAAAAACCAGGTAGTGGTTCAGGTACGGGTTCTTCAACTTTAGGCTCTTCTATTTTTGTTTCGTCTTTTGGTTTTTCTTCATCTGTTTTTGGCTCTTCTTTCTGCGTCTCTTCTACTGGTTTTTCTTCTTCAGGTTTTATTTCATCCTTTTCTCTCAA